ATGTCACATGTCACATCCAGACTCTCTGATGAGGAATGGCAGAATTTCCAGATGATTGAAACCGCTCATGAAAAGCACTTTTCTTTTTTAATTTTAGACTAACGTATGCCTGATTTGCTTTTCTTCACCTATCCAAACAGGGATTTTTTTTTTTTTTTTAAAGATTTTATCCACTGATTGATTTAGAGAGAGAGTGCGAGCAGGGGGAAGGGTGGAGGGAGGGGGAGAGAGAGATTGAGAGTCTCAGGCAGACTCTGTGCTGAGCGTGGAGCCTGACCCGGAGCTCGATCTCAGGTCCCTGAGATGATGACCTGAGCCGAAATCAAGAGTTGGACGCTTAACCAACTGAGCTACCCAGACGCCCCCAAAAAGGGATTTTTAATTTTGGTTTTAATTGTTTCCTTGTCCTGAAAAATGATGGCCTGTAATATGAAACCCTTCTCAGTTTGGTAACTTTCCACTGGTTAAGTGATTAAAGTCATCAAAGTCTTAGAAAGTGAAGGAATGAGTGAGTAAATAGCTAGCTAGCTAGATTCAGTGAAATCATTTCCGTTGCATGCTCTATTGTTTATGATGAGCCTTAGCTAAGATTTTGTCTCTTTTTGGCTGTTTCTTTTTTCCCCCTCATAGTTTCCAGGCACTGTCACAAACTTTGATTCTTTGATAGCTAAACTCTTAATTCCTTTTTTTAAATGTTCATTTTCATTAAAGTGCTATTTAACATTAGATATTAACTTTGACAGATGTTAATGCTGCTTCTCAATTAGGTAAAATATATTCTTGGTGAGGTGCCAATTTGAATTGAATATATTTGAATTTGATATGTGAATTAAACTGTTGTTTAAACCTTACCCATCCATCACATGGGTGATGGAGCAGCTGGCTGGTTTTGTATATAAGTGGGTTTTTCCCCCCTAGCAATATTTACTTATTTATTTATATTATTTTTTAGAGGGGGGAGGGGCAGAGGGAGAGGGAGGGAGAGAATCCCAAGCCGACTCCCCACTGAGTATAAAGCCCGACACGGGGCTCGATCCCACTGCCCTGAGATCATGACCTGAGCGGAAATTGAGAGCTGGACACTCAACTGGTTGAGCCACCCAGGTGCCCCCCCCTTCAGCAATATTTAAACATTAGAAAATGGCTTCCTACTGTAGCAAAGAGAACTTCATATGAATTTATTACAAGATCTCCTTGTTTGTCAGTTTCTTAGGCTGCATAGAATGTAAATTGCCAGACACTACTTTGGTATAAGATGTTTTCCACGGACAGTATTATTATTTTAAAATCTTTTTTGCTCCTGCAGATTTCCAGTAGACAGGAAGTCTAGCTCTGTTTACCCTTTGGCTACTAATGAATGCTATTAGATTATTATTTATCTTCTTTAGGCAGAGGCACTACAGGAATGAGATCAGAATTGCCAAGTGAGGCAAGCATTTAATTTAAAAATAATAAAAAAATAAGACAAATCCATCCAAAAGTGGCAACTAAAGTGTGGATCCTAGAAAGTATTTTGGACTTGAGTCAGAGAATTGGGGTTGTGTCTCCACCTGCGTCACTAGCTTGCTGGGTCATCTCAAGCAAGTCATTGCCCAACTCTGGATGGCATAGCCCCTCTAAAGTTTCATCTTCCACATTGCGTATTCTATATGCTAAAGAAAGCAGGGCTAAGGGAGGCTGAATCCTCTTGTTTATCAGCTATCCGCACCAGCCTAGCAGCTCTGAGGTCAGTCTCCAGCTGCATTTTTTGTCTTTTTTTATAATCTCTTAAATCCTTGCTAGGCTTTCATTGCTAGTTTTTTTCCCTAGAAATTTGCATTCAGAAATACTGAGGGCTTCCTACCTTTGGGAATTTTTCTATGCTCATGAATTTAATGAAAAGTTACTTAGAGTTACAAAAAAAAAAAGCCAGAATTAAGTGTCTTGTTTGAATGACTGTTTCTGTAAAATCAGACTGTTTCCATCATGACTAATGTACCTTCACTATTTCAGTTTTGAACTTGATACATTTGAGTCCTGGTACGGTGAGGCATGATTGTCAGTTTCTCTTATTAGTCGTGCTAGTATTCTCCCACTTATCATTGTTCTAACCTTTTTTTTTTTTTAAACCCAGAATGATTGAGCAACAAGGCTCCATATCATGGGAGTTATATTTTGGGTACTTGAGGATCTCATTGATTTGAAATAGTCTGAACTGCACTAAGCTAAAATGTACCTTTCATTGGCTTGCTAGGAAAAAAAGTAAACAAAATAACTTGCCTCAGAGTGTTGAGAAATTAACTGTATGGCAACTTCAGGATGTGTGTAAAAGCTAGAGAGAGGTTTTTACAGATCTCTTCATTAAAGGAGGTCTAGCACTATAATTAAAAAGGCAGACAATAACAAGGGTTGGTAAGTATATGGGGAAACTGGAACCCTCACACATTGCCGGTGGCAATAAAAGGTACAGCCACTGTGGGAAACAGTTTGTCAGTTCCTGAAATGGTTAAACATAGAATTACCATATGACCCAGCAATTCCACTCTTATGTATCTATACCCAAAAGAAACGAAAACCTCTGTCCACCCAGAAACTCATACATGCATGTTTATAGCAGCATTATTTATAGTAGCCCCAAAGTGGAAACAACCCCAAATGTTTCTCAATAGATCAATGGATCACAAAATCTGATAAAGACACACAATTGAAATATGATTAGGCAGTTAAAAAGATGAGGCATTGGTACATGCTACAGCATGGATGAAACCTCCAAAGCATTATGGTAAAAAGCCAGACACAGAAGGCCCCACTTATATGAAATATCTAGAATAGGCAAGACCATAGACAGAGAAAGTGGATTCACGATTGCCAGGAGCTGGGGGGAGGGAAGAGTGGAGACTAGCTGCTAATGGGTACGGGGCTTCTTTTTGGTGTGACAAAATGTTTTCAAATTGGATAGTGGTGATGGTTGTATAACCCTGTGAATATACTAAAAGCCGTTCAATTGGATACATTAATGGGTGAATTTTATTGGTTTGTGAATTCTGTCTCCATAAGCTGTTACAAAGCAAAAACGTTAGCAACTATACTATTCTAATTACTTGAAATTGGAAAAGTATATGTAAGTTACATTTTTTGGCCAGGGACTGGAAGGAAGGAAGAGTGAGGGGTTAGTATTGAATGGATGCTGTGTTTCATTTGGGCAAGATGGTAAAAGTTCTGGAGATGGATGCTGGTGGTGGTTGTGCAACGTGAACATACTTAATCACACAGAACTGTACACTTAAAAGTAGTTAAAACAGTAAATTTTATGTTGCATATATTTTACCATAATAAAAAAATCTATAATCCTAAGAAAATCACATTTTACATTATTCCAATGTATAAGGCTTTCCCCCCTCTCTCTCTTTTTCTTTTTAGCAAGAAGATGGGAAGTGTGATTGGCCTTTTGGTTTTTATGCATGAGATTCTTCTATGTTTTAGAACTTCTGTTCAGTATGTGTGTTTGTTAGGAGAGAGGGTGTTGGTTATACACACACATATATGTCTTTATCTTGGCTTTGAAGGAGAACTTGAAAATGCTTTATGAAACTTCATTTGCCAGTAGGAAAATAAAAGAGGCCAAACTGGAGGAAAATTTATGTTGTTAAATTATAAAACAGTGAAATGCTGTTCTCAGAGTATAAATTATCACAGATGTCCTGATTTTCTTGGTTAATCTTGGCTCCTTGAATGGGAAAAAAAAATCTATCCTAAGCTTTCTATAAGCATTTTCCTTTGTGTAGTAGGATCGAGCGAGCACGCAAATTCATTGAAAACACTCACAAACATAGGGGTTTTGTTTGTACAATACATTAAGTGAGTTTCAGAATACAAAGGAAGAGATGGAAAAAAAAAAAAAAAACCCAAAACACGCCGGCAATGAGGAAGTCACTGAAAAAGGAATTAAATGATTTTTAAGGGCCTTGGAACTTTGTTATAACCCGAGCAGTTTGTAGGCTCTAAGTCTGTAACTTCTAAGGATTAATCTATGAAAATAGTTTCTAAGCCTGGCTGCTGTATAGGACATTTGAATTTGAAGATCGATGGCGCAAATGCCAGCAATGCCATTAGTATAAAGTGTAATCAGAGGTATGTTTGTTTTTCTTGACTAGGAAGTGGTTTCTTTGAAAAGTACAAGAAACACACAGTGCCTCTGTGTGCGAGTGTGTGTGTGTGTGTCTGGGTATTTTCTGTCTGTTCTTCTATTGCAGGAAGAATTATGGTCTTCCAACATCTTTGTCCTTTATAGTAAGGGTTTCTCTAGAATTTGGCACTGTAGTATATTACCCTTGATTACAGGGTCCAATCAGAGTTGATGTACTCAGAAATCCATTGATGTGATTAATGGTCTCCTAATCATACTTTTATTTCCTAGATTAGCCCAATTTCCCGTACTTTCACAATTTTTGAGTCATATCTTGAATTATCTTTTATAGGGGGCCTGAAATCCTTGTATTTTTAGTCTGTAATTTGCATGATTATTTTAATTTTCTTTGATTTCCTTTGCTTGAAGAAAATGAAATTTTGATCTTTTTTGAACTCTGAGTGCTGTTCTGTGGTAAATGGCCAACCTAATATGAACTTTTTTTTTTAACTATATACGTTTTTTTTTTCCATCAGCCCTAGATCTAGAAATCTTCCTACAAATTTCCACTAGTCTGGCTTTTATTCTTCTCAAAAGTAAACTAAAAGTAGTCTCAGATTCTATAAGTAACAGGGAAGTAGACCAGGAAATGACTGTACAGGAAATATAATTGATCATTTGCTCTTTACAATTGGTCACAAGATTGGCTAATAAATAGTCTATTGAATGAAAAAAATGACTCCTAAAATCTTTGGGGCCCTTGAATACATTTGAAGATTATTGGTGCCTTTGGCACCTTACTTTTTTTAAAATCTCTTACCTTTTTCAAATGACTTTGAAATTAGGACTTTTTCATATCTAGTGGTTGCTTTAATATTTGCTTTGTTTTCAACAGTGCCCTTAAAGATAGCCGTTTTCCCCCAATGACAAGGGACGAGTTGCCACGGCTGTTCTGCTCAGTGTCTCTGCTCACTAACTTTGAAGATGTCTGTGATTATTTGGACTGGGAGGTAAGACTGTAGAAATGTTTGAAAGAAAAATGAAGGTAACTCCTGACTCTTTCAGCCCGTTTTCTATTGTAGTGGAGGTGGAGAGTAAGGTGGATAAATAAACCTCACAGTTGATCAATGAGATATCAGTGAAGGAGTTGTTTTTTTTGTTGTTGTTTTGTTTTGTTTTTTTTTTAAGGCAAAGCACCATGTGTCGTTTTAATCCCCATACTGAATTGGCTGTTTATTTTTGTCTGATTACTTTACCACAGCACCTCATAAAAGCTGTTAATAAGTAGTAAGAAGGACTGATTGGAATTTATTTTTCCTCTTATTTCCATTCTAATGTACTTCGGTGTAACCACCACCCAGCAGTTAGGTGGTCAGAGGAAACTTCTTGGAAGCAAGGAGCCAAAGAGTGAGGATAATACACCAGTTGGGGAAATCAGCATGTGGATACAAAACAGGGCATCGGTTTACTACAGTTAAATCATGTTCATTCATTCTTGGCTACCTTACTTTGTGCACTTAAACACTCTAAAAAATAATATTAAGGTTATATCTCAGTGATCTCTGAGCATTGTCATGTTCGAGGTAGCCTAGATTGATCTTATTTTTTATTCTTTAGTGTGTGGGGTTGGGTTTCTACGGAAGTTCAGAGGTTCTCACCATGATTTGTTTTGCTCGTTGCGAGAAGACAGTTGAGTGTATGTCTATGAAATTTCACACACAATCGTGCACACATTTATTGAATGCCTCCTGTGTTCAAGGCACCATTGCTACATATACAAGAGTCCTAAGATTTGATCCCCACCATAAAGCACCTCTCAGTCTAATGGCAGAGAAAAGAAGTATACACCAAGCATAAAGAAATAAGTACCACAAGAATGAAACAATGGGAATTCAGTGATGCACTTAGCGTTCTCTCACATAAACACTCATAAGTGACATGACTAGATCTTTATGGTATAACATGTTTTAATTCTACTGACTTTTTAGAATGACCACGTCCCATAGTAACTGGGGTATTCTGCCTTGTGGACAGATCACTCTCTTGATAATTAATTGGACTTGAATTTTAGTTTGGGATTTGCTCTGATTCCTTGTGAGACTTTGGACAACTTATTCCACTGCCATTCAGTTTCCACATATAGAATAAGACATTTCTAAAGTTCTTAACCTTCACTGGAAAAAAATCCCTATGATATAAATTATTGCTCTTAGGCCAGAGCTTTATAAAAAAAAGAAAACATTCTATAGAGAGTAGGATAAAAGAGTTCCTTCTGAGTTTTGGAGTGCGTCGGGTTTTTTGGAGTATTATCAGAGTATGAAAGCATTCGGGAATGTTTTGTAATGGGAAAAATAAAATTAATCAATAGTGTTGAACCTAGTAAAGTTGGATTGGGTAAAACCTTTCACAGAATGAAAATTTCCTGATTGCTTTCTATAAGTTCATTGTTCCTATTTGAATTTTTCTTAAAGAGAAGTCTACCCATATCATAGGAACATTCCTCAGTATTTTTAAATGATCCCAAATTATATCCCTTTCTTATTAACCAATATGAAAATGTGGGTGGTTCTTTTAATATTTTAAGGCTACTGTTTCCTCTTCTCTAGCTAGAATTTTATTTCTGCTTTCTGAATTGCAGAGTGCCCTGCGTGTGGGGGGGGGTGGGGGGAGCGATAACAGGGGTAAAGCCTGAAATCTAGGGATGACTGAGCTACAAAACGCGCCTACTCTTGCTTGCCACCACTGAGGTGGAAGTACAGTTGTGGGGGGGGTGGTTTGCACATGCGCAGGTGTGAGCATGTGTGGCACGTACATGAATGTATATTTCATAAATATGCATGCATGTATTTGGAGGGAAGGAAAAATGGGAGGATCCAGTAGTAGTTCCATAAATATGGGCAAGCACAGAGTACACCACCATCATCTCCTTTAGCCCACTTCAAGCACTGTCTACAGCTAAAATTAACCCTCATACCTTATGTATTGTATATTTAATACGTTCCTCGAGGCTTAGATATTGGTGTCTATTGGTGTAACTTTAACCAGAAAGTGATGCTTTCTGGTTAAAGTTACAACAAAAATAAATATATGTTTGTGCTTTTAACATTTAAGTATTTGAAAGTGAATTTTAGGTCCTGCTAGAATGGCTACGCTAAGAGGGAAAGACTGTCCTTTTCAGTTAGTTCGTCACAGTTGGAAGTATTTAGCATAAGAGAAATTTGTCCCCGAAGAGTAAGACTGAAAATTGCATTTTTTTTAAGTACAAGAATGTGATTTGGGCTTAAAAAAAATATACCATAGTCAGTGATTACAAATGGAATGGTATTATTGTGGGGATGATGTCATAGGGTCATCCTTAATAATTCTGAAAAAGCATTGGTTACTTGAAACACAGAATGCCAAAGTAGAATTAAGAACATTATTTTTTAAAGTATATGTCAAGGCATTTCCACTCCTAGGTCTATACCCCAAAGAAATGAAAACAGATGCTGAAACAAAAAGCTGTACACAAATGTTTATAGCAGCACTATTCATAATAGCCTAAAGGTAGAAACAACCCAAATGCCTATCAACAGATAAATGGATAAACCAAATTTGGGATATCTGTACAATGGAATATTAATCAGCCATAGAAAGAAATGAAGTAGTGACATGGATGAACCTTGAAAACATTATGCTAAGTGGAAGAAGCCAAGCACAAAAGGCCACATACTGTATGATTCTGTTTATACGAAATATGCAGAATGAGCACATTCACAGAGATAGTGTGTTAGTGGGAGCCAGGGGTTGGGGGAGGGGCTGACTGAGAAGTGATGGCTTTTAATGGGTCCAGGGTTTCCATTCCGGATGATGAAAAAATTATGGAACTGGATGTTGTATGACACCATGAATGTACTTGATGCCACTGAATTGTACACTTTCAAAGGGTTAAAATGGTAAATTTTACATGATGTGTATTTTACCACAATGAAAAGGCGTATATGCATCTGCATATATATTTAAACCTATTGTCCATAATAGTATAGTAATTCTAATTTATGGAAGAAGAAAACTTGGAAAATTCAAAAAATATAAAAAAAGGCAAGCCGTTTGTAATTACACCATTCTGAGATAACCACTGTTAACATTTTGGAATGTTCCTTTAAATTATTTTTCTGTGTCTTTGTATCAATAAATATGCCTATTTGTTCATGTATCGGAGATCATATTGAATATACAGTCATTATTAAAAAGGATTGTGGTGGGGGTGGGGGGATGCGTTAGCCTGGTGATGGGTATTAAAGAGGGCACGTACTGCGTGGAGCACTGGCTGTTATACGCAAACAATGAATCACGGAACACTATGTCAAAAACTAATGATGTAATGTATGGTGATTAACATAACATAATAAAAAAATACAAAAAAAAAGGATTGTGGGAAAGTCTTTGTTTATGGTTTATCTTTATATTATAAGTTAATGATTCATACTGCAAATTTCCTTTATGAGGGGGTCCAGTCTATATTAAGAAAGGATACATTTATTTCACTTTGAGAAATTTCAGAGTGTCAAATAGGTAGACCTTTTCTTCCAAGAATGAAATTTCCTATTCGCTATAAGTATCTAAATTTAACCAGAAATGCACAGCGCTGCATATGTTGATGCTACAGGGGGAAACAGGAGATGGTGACAGAATTTTAATAGAGAATTTTTAAGGCAGAGCTCAGTAACGAGTATGTTTGATATAAACAGAAGCCTCTCACCTAGGGCTTTTCTCTTAGAAGTACAGTTTGAGAGTTGACCCCCACTGGTGAAGCGTGTTACTGCAATAGAATTCCTAATTAAAGGGCGAAAATGCCCAGATCAAAGCAGAAGAGGGCGAAGTCTAGAGGTCCCAAAGCATAGAGGTGAGTCACTTTGGTAACAAGAGAGACATCCCCGTGGTCATGAAGATGAGGGACGTGACCGGTGGTCATAGCCGCCTAATTTTCAAATGATCGGGAAACAAGTGAACCACCACAGGGCTGGCTACTGTCTTTCTCTTTTCTTCAAGGTTTTTAACTGAGCCTGTCTGGGACCTCTCTTTTGGTAACATGTCTCTATTTGTATAGTGGAAGTTAATAGGAAGGTAGGATTTACAGCAGTCAGACTTTGTTTTAGAGGCTAGAATGCTTCCCTTTGATAACGTGAGTAAAGTCTGATAAATGGTTTCACAAGTGGATGTAATTGGTTTCAATTCAAGGTTGAATTGACAGAATGGTCAGTAATGCCTCCATGTTTTATTTCCTCAACAACGTAAGAATCATAACATGTAAGATGAGTGTCTATGGGTAGCATGTCAAGGAGCCTGGGTCGTGATTAAAAACAGCAAAACCATCCACAAAGATCGTACAGACAAATTGGAACACCGGTCCCACCCTTCTAAGAATTGCTCTTCATTGCCCCCATCATGATCTACTTCTTGCCCTGGTAGGTATGAGAAAGATGAAGAGTTGAATGATTTGGGGGAGAAAAAATTCATTAACTGATAAATTGAGATATCTACCTGCAAGGCTAAAATGGCTGTTAAATGAGGAAAATTGTTCCCCTAGGGTGATATCTGAAGTGGTCTGCCTTGTGTCTGAACGCGAAAACTTATGACCGTGGTTGTGTGTTCTTCAACTGACAGCATTCTCTTAATTCCATATGACAGGATGATGTACAGACACGGTGCTTCAGAAAGAAAGAAAAGCTCTTGCACTATGCTGAAGTCCTCTAAAATAATCTATAGGCTAGAACTGGTGTAGTCACATGATGTGGGAGCCATGTTTGTTTTTCAAGATCTGGAAGGGTATAAAACCAAAGACATTACAACAGCCAGAGTTTGCCTTGAGGGGTGATTCCAGGTGTGTTACCTCGTGGTTGCTCATTTGCAAGGTGATATAAATGAGTAAGCTTTTTGCTTGTCGAAGGACTTGTATATAGCCAGTATACAACCAGTGATCTTGCACGGGGAGTTCATGTAGCAGTCTGCTGACCGGAAGACAAAGTAT